TTTTGAAGGTCAAACAAAATTTACAGATAACAAAATTATAGGCTTTTAGTTAAACATTTGAGACTGAAAAACTCCCCCCAAGTTGACTCTGCATAATTCATTAAAATTATTTCACATTTTCGAATAGTCTTGATTTTTATCTACTGTGTAAAGTAAATCAGTCTACTTCGTGAATACTTACCTGGATAAACCGACTAAATGCCTATTCTTTATCAAACATGAGAACACCAGTTGAAAACAAAATGGAACAGTTGACCCTGGCACCAAGCACAAGCGACCCCGCAACAATGCTTCTTCCTTATTCTTTTTTGATACATCGATTGGAATACTACACCTCGATTTGTGTGTTTTTGGATTGTTTGTATCAGAACTTGGATTCATAGTGAGATGTCTATTAGTCAGAGTGTTCCCTCTGTAGGGGTCCTAAACCTAGCCCCAAGATTGATAACCATCGAGAGTTATGCCTTTCTTGCCGCTCATGCAATGAGGCTTCACGGTGTGAAATTTGTGTAATGTGGCCGCCGTCTCGATTCGTTATCATCTCAGCATGGCAGGCTGAGCATCGTAAGCCAGCAGTTTTGGCTACGCCTGTGGTGGCTACCGGTACTGGGTCGAGTTTGTGGGTTTCAACAGTATTCCCCACACAATTGAGTCCACTATCAAACACACACACTTGCAGTACAATGGAGGGGTACTGTATAGAAAATTCATGATATTGCCACATGCAGGTGGCTGGAAATGGCACTCTCGGACTTCAAGCGAATATAATTTGTTTTCAATTTTATTTTATAATTTCGAGAAATTTAGGAGGGCGGACGATTCTGCCACTACAGGCTTGTTAAGACGTTTTTTTTGTTTTACTAGAAGACATTTGGTTTAACTTCATAAAAAGTATTTTACAGATATCGTAGTAGGTGTCACGTGTGGTGGTCTTGCTGTTGTTGCCTCATCGCAACTTGGAATTTTCTTATCAAATTCTTGCTGGAATGAAGAATACTGACAAACCCAGTGGTTGATTATAAAGTAAATTCAGATGGTTCTTTTCACTCGCTTTGTAGGTAGAAGAATTGGTGAATAGTGGAAGGTAAACAGTTGATATCTCATCCCCCACTTTTAAATGTGGGAGACGGTGGTGTCTCACACCGATCAACACCTATGTATGAGTATGCCTCCCATCCCACCCATTAAATAAATGTGTCCCACTTCTTAACATTTGAGGTTTAAAATGTCTAGTATATAGCATACAGTATCATTTTTTTTTTATAAAAATCTTTTCAAGCATAGATAGTAGATATATGTGCATTTGGAGTACTGTAATGCCATTTTCATAGTGCCACTGAACATTGCATTTTGCCGTGGATATTACGGTACCGCCATATAAATCCTTGTTGATTGATATTTGATACAATTGGCCTATTATAAATTTTTTTTTTTTTTTTTTTGGGGGGGGGGGGGGGTTTATTATTAGCTAAAGCCCTCATCCATGGATTACAGTAGCTATGCATTTATAGTTTCTCAGTGCAGAAATCTATTTTTTATTATTTGGCATGGGGGGGTTTATTATGAGCCACAGCCCTTACCCATCCATTAATTGGATGCATTTATAGTCTCAGTGTAGAAAAAGTTTGGCTGTGATGTATGAAACACTTTGTATTTTATGTTTTCGAAATATCCAATACTGATACTGACAATATGAATATGCACATTGACTTTAAAAAAAAGTATAAGACTATGGGAACAGCAAAAATATTTTATATTAATTTCAATTTGTCAAGGGAATCCTACAACAAGCAGTTCCAAGTTCAACTTTGCAGCCGCAATGAATGGCAGTCGCCTCGATGTGACGTGCTGTAGGCCTCCATTCCATGAACTTGGCCAAAAAGGGATTACCCCGTTGTTACAGTTTTACAGTAGGATCCCATGTAATAATCACGAAATAGAATGCCTTGAATTATAGCGTATATTTGACCAATACATTTTATCTTTTACGATGTAGGAGATATACTCTAGCTAGGGCCTAGAGGGTAGGCTTCGCCAATAATACTAGGCACAAGACAAGTGGCTGCTCATGCGCGACTCACACATGCGTGAGAGCGCAGGTGTTATTTATTTAAATCAAAGAACTTATAACAGAGGAATGAGCTGTTCCGTGTATTTGCATTAAAATTGATGGAACATCCGCCCTCCTGCGAGCGGGGTAAAATTTGACTATTTGACTAAGTGGAGAAACTACAGGAAACACACAAACCTGAGCGGTGCCTTTATTATTGATAGCGCCGCCGAGCGGACGGGGTAAAATTGCTCTCCGTGCCCCCACAATGCATTCTGAACGGATTGGGAAGTGCTCTATCTTCTGCTATTTATTATCTATGTTTAAATGAATCCTGATTGAATGTTATTGTCATAATCCAATCCTACAGACAGTAACATCACTCTGAATTAAAGCCCCATTCCCGGCAAAATTTCAGTTGTTAAGAAAAATCTAATTTTTGTATAATGTTATAAAGATTTATATTAATACGGAATTGCTAGTTTAACTGAATTCAGACATGCCTAAGAATGAAAAAAACGTAAAAAAAGAAATTTGAAATTTGATTTTTTTTTGTGTTCCACACAAAAAATAAATGCGGATGAATTTTTCATGTTTGATTTTGCGATAGATCGTGAGAAGAAATATCGTAGACGCCGAAAACATTAGCCTATCCAACGCTGCTAGGCTAGGCCTAGCCTTACCTATATTTAGGTTCTGTTATTACACATAAAAACGGCCGACATGATATTTTCCGTTGCTAGTATTGACACTTGTGAAATATAATTTTTCATAGGAATTATTTCAAATTTGTTAAAAAACTGATTCTGACTGAGATTTCGACACTTAAACGAACATATCTCAGCCTAATCGAACGACCGCAGTGTGCGAGATGCGAAGTACAAAAACTAATCTCATTAGAGAGGGTGCACTTTATTGACTATATAAAGTATACATAAAAGTGAGTATTCCAGTGGATGCGATCAACAACCTCTGAATTTGCCTAGTAACGATGAATTCGTCGAGAAAATGGTAATATTTTATGAGAACGCAGTGGCTAGAGATACGGTACCATATTTCTACTTAGTCTTGCTAAAGGTACAGTAAATGGCATTACGTAAGCATCACCCAATAAAGTGCCGCAATGTGCATGACGTCATTTTTTGAAGACTGGCATTGCATATCACCCGCAATGAGCGGTGGAAGGAGAACGATCATTGTACAGTATTGGGAAATTAGAACATCAAAAGTACAATACTGTTTGACTTTACTGTCATCCTTAAATAGGCGTATGGTTCTACTTTATAGTAATAGTAGGCCTGTATGAATTCTCTTGTTTACAGTATATTCAATTTTTTATTGCAAGTGTTGTCATATAAATAGATTAAATATACCAAAGACTAGCAGTGTGTGTATACGTGTATACATGTGCCTTGGCCTAAGTCCTGAGGATGAACGATGCTTTGCTTGATAAGGCTATATAATGACATGACTTTATTATTGAGTGGTACGCCTATTTGAGGCCTGTCGTGGCAAAATGGTTAAGTTGTCGCACAGGCCAGTATTGAGTAAATGATCTTGAAAATATGGGAGCTCAAAAAATTGCCAAAAAATCCAAATTTGTTTTTCGCTACAAATCAACAGTGATATTGTCTTGTTAATCATGTCCCAAAGTATTAGTTCTGAAAGTGGTCAACAAATCAATTTATTTAATGTTATTTTGATAGTTAATTCTATTAAACAATGTATGCACAATTAACTTTGAAAGGAAATTACTCAAAATCATGTTTATATTGACTCTAAAGTCTAAGAGTGCTGTACTTTCATTTTCCAATAACTTAGGCTTGAAATGTCCAATTTCAATAAATGACCCCTCATTTTAAAGATCAAATACTCAGGTGTCTGAAAATACCAATATCTTGAATTTTAATTTTTGCTACAACTTAGCCATTTTGCCACAACACGCCTCATTTTTCTATGACAGTATCAAGGTCTGCATCAAAATTATTGGAAAAATTTGACTCAATTGTAATAATCACAAAGGGGAAACATTCTCTCGATCTAGGCCTAGATTCTGTACCATAACAGTGACGAAGTCTAGCCCTACGAAAAGTTTTGTGCATTCAAATTGTATGAATATTTTGGTGGGATTGTAAAGCGTGGTATAATTTCGAACTTCTTGGACTAAAACTTGGGATGTAGGGATTATGAAGTTCAGACGGTATGATGACGGAGGAACTAGGCTAAGTTTATGACTGATATAGGCCTATGCCACTCAGATCAGTGTCATCAGAGCAGCTGCCGTGAAAAGCAGAATCCAAACAAGGCCGAGCAGGCTTGCTTAGATTTTTCGCCAAGCGAAGAATTTAAGCAAGGCCTATAGAGGCATGCCAAGAGTTTGGTGGAATCAGTCCTTGTTTGATAATGGTTATACATAGGCCTAGCTAAATGAAACTCTTTACTAAATGGAACCATAAGCCTATTTATCGATAACAGTACTAATAAGTCAAACAATATTGTACTTTTTGATGTTCTAGATTCCCAGAACTGTACATCATTCTCGTTTCACCGCTCATCGCGGGTGATCTGCAATGCCAGTCTTCAAAAAATGACGTAACGCACATTGTGGCTCTTTATTGGGTGATGCTGACGTAATGCTATTTACCGTACCTTTAGCAAGACGAAGTAGAAATATGGTTGGTACCGTATCTCTAGCCACGGCGTTATGAGAAATAGTCTGTATTTCTCAATTTTGTTATTCTTTTGGGTAAATCTAAAATTCATGCCAATATTTTTCCATGATTTATAATAATTGGAGTAATGCAAATGCATATTTTCTTAAAAAAGTCAGTTTTTAGTGAAATTTTGCCGGGAATGGGGCTTTAATTTAAGACTGTTGTAACATTAGCCACACTAGACTGACAAAAAAAAGATTCTACAAAAATATCAACATCTGAGGTAGTTTTCTTACTTGTCCGAGATCAATAGTGATATTGACTTTACTGTAATCAAAAGATCGAGAGAGTGGAGGGCTTTGCCACCATTTCTCAGTACCGTCAATAGCGTATTCAGCAGGATGAGCCCGAAGTGAATCTTGCGAGTCACAATAGTCACAGTACTGGCCATCCACGATGTCTTGTTCATGGTAGCGAAAACTGTTTACGCCTGTATTTCCTGCCAGTTTACAATAACGCTCTGGTTCTCCTTCATCTCCACATGTCGATGTTGCTTCAATAGATTTTCCTTCTGCAATGTTAAAATAAGGCGGAGTAAGGACACTGGATTGCTGCTGGCAAAGTGAACTTGTCAGAGAGCTTAATAGTGTAATAAACAGCAATAACTCCATCTTGCACGTCTAAATTTCAGCTTTGTTTTCATACAGGATCTGCACGCCTCAGTTCATCACTAAACAGCCAAATGCCTGCACTCTTTGGTGTGCTCTGCTTTTTCATACCTATTTATTCCACAGGAAGTGGAAGAATTTAGGACTATACCATATATACAGCGGGTACACATAGGAAAGAATTCAACGTCCAATATCTATAAAAAGAGCCATGATAAAAAATATAATATTTTTTTTTAGCTTTTTGTTGTTGTTTTTGTATAAATCAGCTTGTGGTGTTTACAAATAATATAAATTACATTTCAGTCATGTTGATTAGAACAGTTATTTGTAATTCGATGATTTGTAGTAAACTAGTCCATAAAAAGTGTTCTGGACTATTGGCGGCGCACTAATTTAAAGGTAAAAGTACAGTACAGATAGTGTGACCATTGCTCTTTTTAATAACACCTTGGTATTTTTGTTAACTTTCTATTAAATCTTGAGATTTTTGGACTGATTTGGAATTTTAAAATGATTCTATCGTGAAGACAATTTAATACTAATTGTCTAACTAACACCATAGGCCCAGTTGAAAGATTTGTGAATAAGGGTGCAGATTCAATAGTTTTGGGGTAGTTGGTTGGGGGAGGGGGTCTACTTTCAACATTGGGACTCGATATTAAAAAGAAAAATATATATATTAAAATAAAAAACACCTAAAATTAGATAATTGGTTAATAATTATATACTGTAATATTAATATAAGAATTTATTTTTGTTTGTATTTTTAATGTTTTCTCGTTTATCTCTGTGTATTTTATTACTTTATTTTATTATTTGACATAATACACAAATTGTATGGTGATCACATAGAGTACCACAGTCGTGTCGTCACAATGCCAGGTAGAAAAAGGGGCGTGGCGATTTAAAAATGGGTGTGATCATTTTCGGGCTGTTCCTCCCGGATAGGGATTTTGGCACACATCCCATGTTGTTTCTAGGGTTCATATTAGTCTATAACAGTTGAGATATTCTCTCCTAAATGAAGTGCATAAATCTTAGTCAGGCCCTCTACTAATGTCATACTTTTATGAATTCATAATCATTCTTATTCAATAATAGTGCTGTATTATCATATTCAATAATTTAAACAATATTTTTGGTTGCGTTTTCTATATGATATTTTGTTTCCTAGGTGGCTGTAAACATGCGATCCCATGGTGGCCGATGCTATTCGAAAGAAAGTAAATCCAGTGGCAAGGGTCAGCCAACATATGGGAATTTACTGCTTGGTATTCCTGTTATAACGTTTTGCTTGGGGACATGGCAAGTTCAAAGGAGAAAGTGGAAGCTAGGCCTAATTGAAGAATTGCAGGCAAAAACTACAGCTACACTTGTTCCCCTGCCTTTAAAGTAAACATAATAATTGTATTATTTGATGACTCTTTGTTGATTCTTATACATAGAATAAAACTTTCCTAAGTCAACTTTACCTAACTCAAATAATTTCTAAGTCGATCTTACTTACATGCCAAATTGTTGTGTTCTCCATTAATTAACGATCTGCAAGTTAAATTTTAGCGAAGTCGAATAATTTTTCAATGCTATTTTGGCAATAGACTTAGGCAAGTTCAACTTATATAAATTTGCATGGTGTGTTCCTACTGAAAATTTAGATAGAAACTAGAAAAAAGAAACGGTTCTCCTTTTATTGGTAAGGAACGCGTCGCAACTGGATTTTGACTCCACATGAAATGGTTGTGTGTAGTCGATATTGGGCAAATTTTTTTTTTTTTAAATGACTGAAAAATTACCTTTAAAGTAAAAGCTTTAAAAACAATATTTTGGACACCCAAAAGAGTGGTTCTTTTTTGTGGGCCCCGTTTCAAATGCCGCAGAGAACCATTCTTAAAAAACAACTGCTCTTAAGAACGGTTCTTTCTCGTCAGTAGACACACCGATACAACTAAGCTTCCTGTTTACTATTCACAAAGAGACCTCATAGTTTGTGCTCCACACACTATTGTGTAGATTATTATATTGTTTTTTGTTTTTTTTTTTTGTTTTTTTTTTGTTCCTATGCATCCAACAAATACAATTATTGCACACGAAAAACAGAGATATTCTTGACAGATGCCAATCCTGTGGGGCGGACACACCCCCCCCCCTCCAATTTTGTCACAAAATTTAAACATTTCAATGCATATTGATATTATGTATTAAAATAAGCACTACCCACTTATCTATTCTGAAAATGTTGGAACTCCACTCTCCTTTGATCAATTTTGAATCTGCCTTTGCTTGACACAAGCTAGAAATCTTTTATTATAGGTATATTTAAACTTGGTATAATTATTATGATATACATTATATATTTCGTGATAAATCAGTATATATGCTACTAATATTTACTTACATTTCCTCCCATCTGCTCCATGATGTTGAGGAAACCTTTTCGTTTTCCCATTAAATTCATTACCTGTTATCATTTTCAGCCATGCAGAACTGAAAGAGTTGGAGTGTTGCAGAGTGAAAGTAAGAGGTACATTTGATCATTCTAGTGAGGTGTACTTGATGCCGAGGCAGCTGAATTGCACATCAAGTGAGAACCCAGGAGGGGGAATATTTTCTTCTCATGGTGAATCTGGAGTACAAGTGATTACTCCATTTCATTGCACAGAATTAGGGTATGTTAATTGTTGCATGAATATTCTTAAATGTCACCAATCGCTATCTTTATTCACTATATCCCTTTTCAAATAGATATTTGCCTGCATATTTTGAGGGAACAATGCTAATATTAGCTGCTTGCTATGTGAATGGATTTAACATTGTAACATTTAACTGGATTACATACAGTGTGAAGTTTGATGTTAAGGAAAAACTCATCTGAGAAATAATAAATGTACATAATGTTCATGTGAATGATTGATTATTATTAACTGAATTCTATGGCATTTAAAAAACAATTAGGACAACAATTTTGGTGAATCGAGGGTGGGTTCCCCGGAATCGAGTAAACCCAGAAACAAGGTCAGGTGGACAAATATTTGATGAGGTGGAGGTGGTCGGTTTTGTCAGGTCAACCGAAAAGGTAATTTGTTATACAATTCTAAATTAGTCATAGATACAGTAAATTAATATTAATATAAAAAAAAATTATCTTCCAAGAAACAAGGATTGAGTTTTGATCAAATTTGGACTAATACAATTTAGTGCTTAATTTACCTTTTGATTTGATATACTGTACTAAATTTTTTCAATAAATTTGTATACCATTGTATTTAACTGTAATTGTGAATAAGGATTATCAAATGTGTTCTGATTAATGTATGACATCATGAATTTATTATCCAGCCTTGGATAAAAATGTCAGTGCCATGCCACGTGTATTACTGTCTGTGTGGTTTTTAGTGATGTTTTACCAACTTTACCTTAAAATTGTGATACCGAAAAAATTTTAAAAAAAATGTTCCCACCCTCCTCTATCCAGTTTTTGACAAAAAAAGAGCAACAATCTTTTAGGGCTAATCTCCATTAATGCTTCAATTTTATTTCTTCAATTTACAGAGAGCACCATTTATGCCAAATAATGATGAGAAAAATAATCGCTGTCACTTTCGTGATCATGAGGCTATGGCGGCATATGTAGGGGCGGTGCCTATATTAATTAACAATGATCTTGGTTCGTAATTATTATATTAATTTTATCTTTTGAAGTCACAAACAAATACTAATAATAAATATTTCTGCAGGATATGTTATCTTGAAAAATATTAACGTCAAGACTTCTTACAATATTCCAAAAATTAGGGGTAAACATAAATTGAATTAAAAGCATTATAGCTATACATTTCTTCTATATGCTGTACCTAAAAGTAAAATAGCTTCTAGTCAGAGGCCCCTAGGCTGCGAAAATTTAGAATGCAGAACTAACAGTTTTAATTTTAGTTTTTTAACCAATTAATTTACCGCCATGGCTGCAACATCCCCCACCTCCATGGCAGCACCCCCAGCCTACCCCCATGCTAGTATTAACCAAGGAAACTATTAAAAAAAACTTTAATACATTGCTCATATACCATAATTTTAGTATAGATGTTTTAGTGTTTTCATTTTGTATTTGATTTTAATTTCTGTTATTAAATATATTTTATTTATTGCCATGAAATTTAAGGGAAGATTTTTGTGCCTCTTTATGTTTCTTCCTGTATATTCTTGCAGAAAGCAGTGTTCCTGGAGGGCCAATTGGTGGTCAGACACGTGTTAAACTGCGTAATGAACATCTTCAATATATTATAAAATGGTATGTATTTCAACAGTTTTAAGCAATTGTATTAAAGTGTTTGTTTTATTCCACCTATAAGTATGTAAATAGGTACCTAGTTGGTGAATGTTCTGTTAATGCATTTCAAAGAATAAAATAGGAATAGTGTGTCAGATACCATTGGTGGATCCAAGGAAGGGGAATGAAGGTGCATCCCCTTGATTAGTCACCACCGCACTCTTCCCCTGTTATGTCACTATCTATAATTTTAAGATGGAATTCAAAATAAATACAGAATGTTACTGGACTATATTTTGTAACAGCACCCTCTATAGATTATTCACTCAATATAGAACCCTCTACAATATGTCCTGCAATAATGTGCACTCTATGTTAGTTTTTATTACCCAGTTGTATTGCGCTCAGTGTTATATTTAATGATGAATTCACTTCATTTTTATGAATTTTTGGACATAATCAACCTAAACATTCTATTTTTTCTAAACCATATTTATGGAGCATGAGATAATACTTACAATGCAGGTATGAGATGTAAAAAGTGGATGTTCATGCCTTTGTATCGTTCGTTTTTGTGTTATATTATTATTGACTGTTGAAAATATTTATGTATGTATTTTTAAAGTAATTGTGCCCTAACAATGTATTATTAAAATGAAACACCCTCTACTATCACTTGTTTACTTGCTTAATGAGGGAACCAGCATGTTGTTCAAAGAAGAATGGCATAACTGTTATAAACTGCACCTCTTCTACTTACCAGTTCTAGGTTTAATTTAGCAGAAAATTCCTCTTATTTTGTCTTTAATTCTTGTTTCAGGTATAGTTTGTCCATAGCCACAACATTGCTTTGGTATTATGGAATATTTAGAAAAAGAAAAGTGTAGTCTGTGAAAACACCCTGATTATTATCAAAAAATATTGGAGAAATAATTATAGTAGTGGTAGGTTTTCATATTCATATCCGACATAAGGCAAGACTTTGTATTTATTCCTTGTTTCGCGAACTTATTTTTTTAGAGATTGTCGGAGGAGGGGAAAAAATAAAAATTAAAAAAAACTTCTGTTTTTTTATTTAGCAAATAGTTTTGCCAAAAACATCCAAATGGAGAAAATAAAAATGAAATTTTTTTGGTGAATGTAAACATTGTAGTAATGGGATGGTTAAATGATTTAAATTTATTTAATTAGGAAGAAATATACATTATTATTTTTTGCAGATTTCAAGGCAGTGGTGGGCATAATAAAAACAATGAAAAGCTTCTAGTGTTTTCTGTAATTTTAATTTTTTTTAAGGAAGGTGTGCTGATTTGCAAAAAGTAAAATTTTATTTTTATTCGAAATCAATCATCATTATTGGTGGGCAGGCAGCGGGTTCGCTAAGCAAAGTATAATAAAAGTCTCGCCTTACAGTTTTTCTTTGTCGTTTAACATCAACATTACAGCACAGGTGCTTTTTTATTTTCACAACAGTAAGCAATTAAATAATAAATAATGACAGATGGGCCAACACGGTATTATTTGAAAAATTCAGTAGTTTGTAGGTGCCTCTATTGAATATGTGCAGTACTAAAGTGTCAACAAATTTGATAAGTGCATGGTGCTTATTTGGTCATTAAATTGGTACAGTAATTTTCACAATCTAGGCTTACTATCATTTAATACTTTTTATTATACCATTGACCTGATTATACTGTATACCATCTATAAGTAGTTTATTCATTGATACATTAACCAGTGCTTATACTAATCAGTGGTATACAGTAGTACTATCTACATGAAACCAATCAATTCTTATTTTTTGTTTTAACTTAAATGTTTATCACTTAGAGACTTCTGATTTTCTCAGTTATAACTCTTTTACATAATTATATAGATTTCCAACTGTGGCTAAAATTTTTTCTTCTTTTTATTTTTTCCCTGTGTTCTTATTTACTCTTTAATATTATGATCACCATCATCGTTTTAATCGTTATTATTGTTACGAAATTACAGTACAGTAAAAAAAAGTATACAAACATAAAAAGCAATATACTGTATAGTGTGGTATGTACATATTTATTTAATAAAAATGTAAACTTATATTTTATTTTTGTTCTCTCTGCTTTGTTAAGGTGGTTGTTCTGCTATTGAACTTATTTGACAGCCCAGTTGAATACATACAGTACTGCAAGACCACAGCTTTTGCCTTAATCAACTGGCAGTGTACATGGTGTACTTCATATTGATACCCAGCAGGCAATGATAAAGTCGTCAGATGATGTACATGAGACAACAGATCACTGTGTGCCAGACAGGCCCTATAAGAATCATCACCATGTTGCTATGACATGTTGACTGTACGTACACCAGTGTACATACCAAAACAATTGTACATGTTGCCAGGTTTTTGTTTGTCAGGATCAATAAATCTGCAACAAACTTTAGTGAACTGTTTGGGAGCCAAGTCTAACTATAAATCGATCACCTCTTTGTATTAAAAGAGAGAAAACAAAACTATTGCTTCAGGTGTACTTACCGAAACAACTGTACATGTTTCCTGGTTTATGTTTGTCAGGATCAATAAATCAGGAATGAACTTTAGAGAACTGTTAGGTAGCCAAGTCTAACTATAAATCGATCACCTCTTTCTATGATTATTAAAAGATACAAAAAAATCTATTGCTTCAGGTACATACTGAAACAACTGTACAAGTTGTCAGGGTTTTTTTTTTAAATACCACGATTACCACCATCAATATTATAATATGAACTAGTAACAATTTCAACTTATCTGTACCTATTCTCGAACTGAGTTTTGGGCAACCATCAATCAAGTTTTTCCACAAACTTCCAGGCATTCTTTGTAAAAGAATTTTGAAGAATTTATATGTGTTTGGTGCGTTATATTATACTGTACATTAAATATATAATTTATTATAATGAGTTTTGAACGACATTGTATTCAAAACTGCTTACATAAAATTTTGTGTTTGACGAAATAATAATAATCGTATCAAATTATATTTAAAATGAAACTAGTAAATCAGAATTAGTAACAG